CTCACAGCGCCCTTCCTGGGTGCGGCCGCGCTCAGCACCCACTCCTGACCCCGCACCCTCTTGCTCAAGAGGCCCCGGTTGCACTGCAGGGTCTGAGGCTCTGGCACAGCCCAAACCCCTCATTGCAGCGGGAACCACCCTGCCCCAGACACCCCGTCCTTGGGGGGACAGCACACCCCAGCACAGGGGACTGTGCCCCATCACACCAGCGCACCCCATCATGGGGCCACGGCAGCATCCCCCTCCCTGAAAAGCCTGCAAATGCCCTGGACCCACTGTGCTGCAATGCTCCTGGGCCTGGTTCTGCCTTCATCCCTGGTCTCAGGGTGCACCCCACATCCAGGGCTGGGGGAGATGTGACCCACACAACCCTCCAGCCCAGCACCGGGCTGCAAGTGGCGCCAGTGTGGCAGGGAAACCATAGAAAGCCAACGCTTGGCCACAAATCTTGCCCATGGCTCCACCAAGACAGGTCCCACGAGAGCACGGAGCCTCCTGCCCACGCCTGAATCTGCCCACAAAGGCAGCGGGAAAGCACCCGGGCTTGGCTTAGCCTCCTGGCAGGCAGCACTCACCTGAAACTGGGAGCAAACTGGTGCCTGGAGCACCACTGCCAGTTGTGGGGGGCAAAGCAGGGACTCCCACCAGGGCAGCACCCAGCTCTGGTGCCTGGGAGCAGGGGAGAGAGCCCCACGTTTCTCTTTCAGCCACAGACATCGAGGCAGCATCAGCGTTTAATGTTGCAGCAGCACACAGCAGTGCTCACAGCCAGGGGCACCGATGCTCTCGTCCCTTCTGCACACACACAGCACTTCCGGCCCGGCTCCGCCACGGCACAGACAGTGCTGAGCCACCTCCTCTACACTCCTGGGCCTGTGGGGCCGCGCTCCTGGTTCGGCTCAGTCCAGCCCTTGGCCAGCCATGGGCGTCCCAGCCCGGTCACGGCCGCCGCCCCAAGTAGGTCTGGATGGGGTAGGTCTGGATGGAGTTGGCCGGAGCCTCGGCTGCGATGAGGCCCACAGTGTCGGCCAGCCCGAAGGGGACGTTCTGCAGGGACCTGGAGCAAGGAGCAGCAGGGTCAGACCTGCAGCAGCCCCCGCTGCACAAGGCCCGGGTGGACGGGGGCCCGCGGCATCACTCACCGGTTCAGGACCACCACCACCACGGTGCCGTCAGGGCGCAGGAAAGCCGTGTACTCCAGCTCCGTCTTCTTGGGCTCTTTGGAGACGACGACCCCCACACGCTGGGAGCCCTCGGGGATGAACTTACTGTGCAAAACAGAGCAATAAACAACCCCAGGAAAGGGGCAAGACCCCAGCAGAGCTCCCCTCCCCACAAACCTGCCCTGGAGCCAGAGCCTGGGCAGCCAAGCGCGTGGGAGGGTCCCAACCCACCTGAAGTGGCCCATGTGGTAGAACATGGGCTGCTTGTAGAAGATGCCCTCGCTGGCGTCCACAATGACTGGGCTGTCCACGTAGTTCTTGACCCAGTTGGGGCCCCCCTCCAGGTCCAGGGCCAGGTTCCAATCGGTCCAACCGGACACAAAGTGGTTCAGGTTCTGCAAGGGGACAGCCCAGACGCCTGCCCAAGCAGCGGGAGACCGGGGGGCACCCCAACAGCCCTCTCCAGTGCTCGCTGCGCAGGGCGGTGCAGGGGCCTCACCGTCAGGATGCTGTGGCTGTACTGGTTCCCCCGCTCCCAGGAGCCCAGGATCACGTCCCTCTCCCAGAAGTGGGCCCCGATGCAGGCCTCCGTAGCCAGGATGAAGTAGTCGGGGAACAGCTCATGGGTGGGCACCACTGTGTCCTTTATGGGACCAATGAAGTCCAGGTACCAGTGGATGCCAATGCCGTGGACATAGCGAGCCGCCTCTTCATCCTCCAGGACCTGGAAGGGAGAAGTCAGCCACAACTGAGCCCTTTGGGGGGATGTGCTGTGCCAGAAGGACCGGGCTCTGCCGCATCTCGCCGCGCTGGTGCACCCCAGGCCACGCTCACCACTTTAGCCCAGTGCGGGAGGTGCAGGCGGTTGTCATCCAGGATGATGAGCTGGACGTGGCGGTGGGAGCTGTTGACCAGCGCGGGGCCCAGGTCCTGAGCAATGAAGTCGCGCTGCTGCTCGGCCGTGAAGCCCAGGCACTGGAAGGGGTAGTTGTTGATCAGCCCGGCCGTGGGCTCGTTCTCTGCCGTCACCGCCCAGAAGGTCAGGTTGTGCTTGGCGTATTCATCCAGGAACCTGGGCACAGGGGATGGGGTGAGCCGCGGGGTCCCCCCAGCGCCGCCACCGAGGATCCCCCGGGAATCCTCCCATCCCCTCGCACCGGGTGCTCCTCACCGAATGAAGTACTTGGCCCAGGTCTTGTGGACCTTGTCCCCAGCCTCCCCCTTCAGTGTTCCCTTGCCCACATAGGACTCGCTGGTCTTCATCCAGGTCGGGGAGGTCCAGGGGCTGGCGGACAGGGGCCGCGGGTGGTTTGTGGTGCAGGAGGGGGATCTGCGGGAGGGGGCAGAGTGACCACCTGAGCCGAGTCCCTGTGTGTCCCCCGCACCCCACTCTGCTCCCTCCCTCCGCTCGCCTTCAGCTTTGTGTCCTCATCTCGCAGGCTGAAGTGGGTGAGCTCGTAGTCGTAAGGGACGTCGTCGTAGGTGTAGGCGTGGAGGGAGAAGTCGCAGCTGGCCATGGGCAACCGGACGAGGTTGTACTCCAGCCCTGCCAGGCACCGCGGGGTGGGCAGTGGCACAGGAGGCTCCAAGCCCTGCAGGGTCCCCCATCACCATCCCTCCTGCCACCCCTCTTCTCACCCTCCTCAGAGAAGTACGAGCGGAGCAGATGATCCTGGGCCGCTTCGGGCAGGGAAAGGATGTTGATGGCAGCGGCATCGGTGATAGAGCCACCAAAACCCTTCACCTTCTGGTACCGCTGCATCATGTCCACGGTCAGGATGAGGTCTGCGGGGAGGGATGGTGTGACGGGAGGCCCAGGCAGGACCCAGCCATCACC